TAACAAGTGCAAAGCCTTGTAACATCCCTGGTCTTCTCCTTGACAAGGTTCCACTGTTTGGCCAATATTTGGAACATTTAAAATATTCATCTACAATTCTTGACCTCTTATAAAGCTGTAAGCAACTAAAATAAAACTTTTTAAAAAAAGAAAGACTGGTTATATATTTAGAAACAGTGTTAAACCCACTTTTTTTTAAATGCCATTCAATAGCATTCAAATGGTCTTCTTTGTCAAAAAGATTTTTTTTTCCCTCCTAACTGTCTTGCTTGCATTGTTTCCTATTTCTCTGCCCACTCATTATTTCAGATTAAAGAAATATATTGAGATGAATTGTAACTCACATGGAATCTACCCAGTGTGAATACTAATGCACATGTAAAGCCAGATGGTGATCTTTTCATTTGTGTGTGTAAACTAAAAAAGCCATTTTCCCTCCAAAGATCTGGACGTCAGCAATCACAGATGTCCCTCCTAAGGTCTGCTTTGTCTTGCAGGCATCAACTTTTTTAATAATAAAAGATATAGCAATCCTTGTTGGGTCTTATATGGACTTTTCTAGTATTGAAGCCATTTTAGCTTGATTTTTTCTGAATCTGCAAAAATCTTGGAAATTTTTGCTGCATCTGTAATTTGCTCTTGGGTACTGAGACTCTTGCCCAATATGTCCCAACTGTATCTATAAAATTAATCAGTGGTCTGTTGGGTACCATGAAGTTTGGAGCTTGTTTTTATTAATAATAGTCTAAATTCTTCAGCTCCAGTTTTGCCTAGCTCTGTATGACTTTGTGTGTGTGTGTTTGTGTAGTTCTTCCCTTTGTAAAATACAAAGATTGGGAACTTAGGAAAGCTGTGCAGAAACTCAAGACTAGAGAAATAGAAACACCCTCTAAATGACACGCCATCCTTCTCGTGCTGAGGACAGGGCAATGCTGCTGAATTGTCTTAACAGTGTGTACTTGAAGGGTGGGAACTCTGTATCAAAGGAAAAGGGCAGATACTTGGGTCTACAACTTTTATTGTACTACTGATGACGCTTAACAGCAACTGGGTAGCATGGGTTGCAAGTGTTCGTGCAACAGAAGTGGTTGTATTTTGACTAGACTGTTAAAGTATTAATTAGACAAACAAAAAAATTGTAATTCTTGGATTCTTCCGAGAGTGACGTTCTTTTGGCTGCCTGTAATAAAATTGCACGCACAGTTTCCAAACTCTCGTTCCTACTAACTCTGTCCTGTCTGGTAGACAAGTCTCTTCCTGCCCACTGCCTGTCAGGAGTCCCCCTGTACAACCAGACACCCACAAATCCCCACATACTTACCCAAAGGCAGTACAATCAGGGAGACGCCACTCAGGGCCACCCCGGTGAGGGTCCGTGTGATGGCCAGCATGCTGTAGGACACCGAGGCAGCACTCAGCATCCCAAAGACAACGGAGCACACAAGCGACAGCAGGAGCATGGTTTTCCGTCCGAACCTGCCACAAGCACAAGATTGGTTACAGTGGCTGGAAACCTGGTCACAGGAGTATGGTTTGAAGCGGGTAAACCAGGGATTTTAGGAGAAAGTTAAAATATTGCCTGCTGTGCAAAGAGTACAAGAGGCAACATCCTGGAGAAGAGGAAACGGCTCTGGATATAGCTGGTGCAAGAGTGTTGCACTCCCATTCAGAGGGCCAGACTGCCCCATGGGCATTGGGCATGGGCATCTCCAGTGGAAAGAGCAACACTGCTCAGAAAAATAAATCAGGCTCCCCTGGTCAACAACATCATCCAAAACAGTGATGTCAGCTCAAAATCCCCTGCTGCTGGCACACCCTGCTCCCTCCAATTACTGTCCACACAGCTGGCTCAGCATCTCCTTCTCCCATGGCTCACTCAGGACCAGACACTGCCACCACTCTCAAGAAGGAGAGAGAGTCACGACATTTTGGACCTGCTTCTTGGAAGGAAAACAAAGGCATCCAATTGTCATTGGATGCACATGCAATCACATGTGCAAATAGCCCTGATATTCTAAGGGATCTCTGAGGAAGTTGTTCCCCGAGGGATTTGGAAGTCCTAGTATCTTACAGCACGTCCAGAGTCCTGTATGGAGAGTGGGGAGAAATACAGAATATCAAATACACACAAATGCACACGTGTACACACAGACACACACATAGAGAAATATTTCTGCACGTATTTCTACACAACCTAATCAAAATGGAGCACAAGGTGTCGGTCTCTTGAGGTACATCAGCACAGCATGTTAAGAAAACTTAGGTTCAAGCTGGAGTAGTAGATTAAGCCTGTCAATAGGGACTGTTCAGTTTACAAGGATTGAAATCCTGCTCTGATCCTGGCATTAGGGCTCTCTTAGTGGCCACCTGAGAAGGATGGTGGCAGGAAAAATTGCTTCAGGGGAAAAAGTGGTGTACTGGGACATAATGCCACAGTCACATTCCTAAAAATAATCATAAATTACTTAGTTCAGCAGATGAGTAATTAATCTACTGCTGAAAAAAACAACTTCTGTCTTGGGCATGGGAAGTTTACTGGATATGCTTTAAAATTTAAGCACGGACAGTTTGCAAAAGACATCGCAATGCCCCTGGGTCAGAACAGGATACACCCAGAAACACGCCAGAGCTGGATCCAGTTTCCAAGAGATAACTACGTAAGAAGGAAGACACATTTTTCAAATTATTTTCCTTGAAAATACAACAAGGAGGATGTAAAACCATGAGATTTCTCACAAGACTCAAGACAGCTGTTTAATGACACATTACTAGACTCTCTCAAAAAATGCACACCACCTGCCAGGAAAACCAGAGGCGAGCTGGCAGGATTGAACTGCAGGATACACGGAGGCTACTAGAAAAAATGCTGTTAAAATTGTCTTCAAAGAGAGTGGCAGGAAAGCACAACCTCTTGTAGAAACTACAATAAAAGGAGCAGACTGCACAAGCATAAGATTAATAAAAAAGCCATTTTCATAAAAAAAAACAGCAATATGGAATTCTGCCAAGGCATCATAGAGCCAGTTCAATACAAGGGAAAGGTACCAAAGGAGTCTTCAGAAAAGAGCAGACAATAACAGAAACAATACGTGGTTTTGCATCTCTATGTTCCCAGTGAAGGTTGCTGAAGGATTTACCAGGGTAGAATTTGTCAGTAAAGTTGTTCTCAAATCCAAATATCTGTCAAGGCATAGGAAAAAAACAAACCTGAACAGTAGCAAAATGCCAGGACCAGAGGTTTTCACCCTAGGGAACAACAGATAAAATCTCTGCCTCACTGTTAGCACAAAGAAGTAAGATCTCATCTCTATGACAGAAAAGAAAGGTTGCTAATGGGGAGTCAACTTAAAAGAGATGATAGGGAAGACGTGGGGCATGGCTTCTGCCGTTTAACAGATCTGCCAAATTTACTGGGTGTGCTTCCCCCCACGCTGCAATTACATGGGCTGCAAGGATTTCCTGACAGGCCTTGTAAGCCTTGCAATGCAGCTCAGGTGCACCCTCAGCTCCTCTTCAGTCTGCTCACAAGGGCACAGCTGACTGTGAAACTCTTGTTAGCTGCCACTCAAGCAGACTCAAAGGTCCTTGTCTGACCAATTGGAAGGCCATCCACAACTTTGTCTTTTTCTCTTAGCTTCTCCAAATTTTGTCCATTTCTTCTGTGTCCTTTTGAGATGGGGAAGAGGCATGGAGGGAGATGCACACAGAATTCAGGATATGGGACCACCATGCATTTACATGTTACTGCATAGTGATAATAGTGATACTAATTGTATATTCCTTTCCCAATGATTCTTGATTTTTCACTTGCTTCCCCAGCAAGTGGAAAATTGCTGTGTGGATGTTTGCCTAGAGAAAACTGTGTTTGTCAAAACACCAAAGTCTTCTTACTGAGTAGCTAGGGTCAGCTCAGAGCTTCCATTTTAAAGGAGAAGTTAATTTTTTTTCCTCTATTTTAGATTAATCTGCCCTGGAATTTTATTTTCTGATCCTCCCATCCAGTCACAGTGTCCTGTAGCTCCTTCTGCAATTCTCCCCGCTTGGATCTCATCTCTACCACTCAGCATCACCTCCCCACTTGCTCTCTTTCCAGATTATTTAAAAATGTGCTGAAAAGCACACAAATCCAAGAACAGGTCCCTTCCTTGACACTTACATCTCCTTTTCTCCTTTCTGGCTTTTAATCAATTATTTAGTCATGCAGAGACGTTCCTTCTTATCCTAGGGTAGCTCAATTTTCTAAGAAGCCTTTGGTAAGGAGAATTCTTGATACCATCCATGTAGGTGGTGTCTTCTCTGTTGGTATGCCTGTTAGTGCAAGCAAAGAAATCCAATACATTTGTAAGGCATGGATGTTTTGAAAAAAACCCAACTGATTCTTCACTAGTGTGTCCCATGGGGCACTGGCTCAATCTTTCAGAGCAGTTTCTGCCAATTTGCCTGCTACAGTCAGATGTCAGGCTGCCTGGCACGTAGTTCCTGAGATATTATTTGGAGACCAGTTTAAAACAGATTTGAAATGTGATACCATCCCAGCCCTCTGCTGTGGAGGTCACACAATGCCAGCTCTTCTAGCTTTTCCATCCCAAAGGTGCTGTAAGGCTCCAGGATAACCACTCCCTGCTCCCCTAATTCATCTCTGTCTTCTATCAGCCTATTTCAAAGCTCCAGCACCTGCCCCTACACGTTCTCCCACTGTGAGCACAGACTCATTTATCTCTCACACTACAGTCTTTATATTTCCAGATGTTCCTTTTGTGCCTTTGTCTTCTGCTGGCTCTTTCCCCTCACAATCCATTTGTAAAAGAAATTATTTTTCATTTTGTGCTAACAGAGACCTTTTCTTCTGCATTATTTTGTCACGCTCCTTCTCTTGATTCTGAATTTCTCTTCGTCCAACTGTGCTATAAAACTATTGTAGATACAAAGCCAAGACACACAGTCTGAAGATCAACTAGGTGTTTTGGATCCTTGTAGCAGTATACACATATACTCATGTGCAAAGATATGGACTTTAAAATTCCCTCTTGAGCACGAAAGCCTCGGGGTCCTTCATACTGTGAAGCTGGTTCCCCTCTGCAGTAGTTTTGTAACTTGCTGCACACTAATGCATGCTTGCTTCCAGAAGAAGGAAATAGGGAAGGAGTTTCCTGCACAGGAAATCCAGTTTTTAAATCATGACTAGCGTACAGTGAATAACATCCTAATTGTGTGCCTGGTCTACGTATCCTCAGGTGGGTTTCCTGGTTCTGCTGTTTGCAAAAATATTGAATTTCTTAATTGATGCTTTTTCTAGCTTATCACTCGGATTTTCTTTCAGGTTTACATTGTCACATTCCAACATTTAACCAGAGAGCAGATTTGTTCCTATTCTCCTCATTCCTTCAGCTCTTCCTGGAGGAATACCTCTTTGCTTATAAGAATCTCCTTTACCCTAATTCTTTAGTAATGAGAGAATCAGCTCTTCCTTGCTGGAGACTCTTCTCTTGAGCTATGGCATACATTTGTTCTGATCCACTCACTTGGCTGTCATTAGCCAATTTGCCTATAACTTGCAAGAGTTAACCCTTAACCTCTTTTAAGACAGTTTTTTCCTGAATATGGTCTTGCATACTAGACTTTTTTTTTTTTTTTTTTTTTTTTTTTTTTTTTTTTT